GTTTAATGAAAATATTTCGGTGAAACTATAATTTATGGACGAACCAATCAGACATATGATGACGAGTCACGGATTTTGGCGCGAAATTCATCCGTACATTTGGCTAAATAGAGTTTTAGCATTATATCTGATGTCAGTTCGTGATGAAAACCCTAAATCTGATTTTTAACCCTAACCATAATCTGTAAATGAGAATCCTAACTGCTTTATATCCCTCATTTACTCCTAATCAGTGGGTGTCCACCCTCAGGGCCACTTCAGCGTCGTTCAAAGGTCGTCCATAAATTATAGTCTCACCAATATTTCTAGTCACTGACTCGATTTTATCAAATAGACATAATCTACCTTGAAATTTATAATGCAACCATTGATAAGTACTGTCTTATGTCCCAGTTACAAAGAGATAAACATTCTCGCCATTCAAAATACTTCACATCAGTAAAACAATTTAATTACAAATCCGATAATTTTTTTAGTTTTTATTCTGAAATTTCAAACAATGGAAACTTTGTGATTAATTCTATTTTCAATCAAATCGCTTAATTAATTTTTGATCGATTGAAATAATGATGTCATTTTGTTTATAATCATAACTTCATAATCCCATCAGTTATTTTAATTATTGATTTATATGTCAATATTGAATTGTATTATGATTACATATCTTTTCTAAAACCATGTTAATGTTATACTCTTTTGAAATCAAATACAATAATTTACATGTTAAGAAATACAATAGTAATAACTAAGTATTTGGTATTGCTTAATTGAATCTTACCATTGATGTTTAGGACTGTAATTGATCGGTTTGTTATTGCAGTGCTAAACATCAATCGAAAGATTTAAATAAATAATACTAAGAGAATATAAACTTCACCCCAATGCATAAGCAAGTGGTTATGAGAACTCAGTAGCTAAATGGATAGCATGATGGCATTGGAAGTAGACGGTACTGGGTTTGAGTCCCAGAGTGAACATAAATTCTGAGTGTTATATCCCAATGAGAATAATGAATGGTAACTGTTGGAATCTATTTTTGGACTAACACTATCGTATATTTTTATTGTGTAATTAGTAAGTAATTAAACTATTCATATTCATGTTCCTTTTATTATAAGTTTTATTTTGACCTATGAACTATTATTATACGAATTACCATTCTTGAGTCATGTACAGTCTATCAATTACTATCTCCCACATTCACAGCCACTTTTGGCTAAATCTTGTACAAATGTTATTTCCTCTTTTATGGTACGATGTGGTCTGTTTGCTTGGTATACAAACACAGTACGTTTGAAATAAATGATTCATATCGTAGAGGCTGAGATTGGTGTTCTCGACTTAACAGGCTAGTCTAGGCAGGAAGCGGGACCGATAAATACTCTAGACTGCTCGTACGGGTTTTATGCGTCATTGGACCGGTCAATAAATCACTGTTCTCTAATTAGCAGTGTCATTACGTTATACATTAATAGGACACAGGGCAAAAGTTATAACACTGGGATGCAGGTACATCCAGTTGACGAGTCTCAAATAAAAAGAAACACGCGTTCTGGATTACACTGCTAGCTACTATCCATTTTGCTTATAAGTACTTCAATATTAATAATCTACAGTCATGATAAATTGGTATACATCAGTCTGAGATGACCTTAGTTAAAAGATAAGGATAATAAATAGAGGCACAATGCCTAAAGTTAAAAGGAAATAAACTCTGAGATAAGATTTAAACTGTCATTTTTTTTTTTGGTTTTTCCAATTAATGGTTATTCATTACATAAAGAGTAGTTCTAGTAGCACTTATTGATCTTCAGCTTTAAAAATATTCTACCATTTTCTTATAATTGAACGGAATCCTATGTTTTAAAGTTATTGTTGTGTTCATTGAGCTTTTGCATAAATAAGACTGTTGTTTTCACGATGCGATCGCTTTTATAGGTTTTCTTCCAAACAAATGTTTTTCATTTATCGAACAGTTGGAAATAATCTTCTTCCGTACAACCAGTGTGGACAAACCTTGTTAAATTTTCAAAGGAAAATAGATATATAAATATTTTAAGAATAAGGGATTTGTGAAGATAATTGAATTTTATGGTTTGTGTCACGAACTAAAATTAGTTGAATAACAGCTGAAAATCACGGGATGCTGCTTAACCCTACTAACTGACTCTTCAAGAGTACGCATCCATAACTCCATTTGGGATTAAGTTAATAACATTCAAGTCTCGAATTGAAAATTTACTCTTTAATTCATTGAGTTAACATTCAGTAATTTGCATGTCTAGCTTCAATCAATTTCAGCAATTGGATAACCATATTTCAATGCCATCGGTGGATAACTGCCTTACACCTGGCATAGGTAAACACCGCTAATCACAACTTCTCCCTGAATTCTGACTCAGCAGTTTAAAAAGCAAGTGATATCATCGAGATTTGTAGGTTTTTGGTTTGATCCCCGTTGAGACGTGGATAGAGATTATTAAAGAATCTTATAATAGGAAAAAACAACTCGTTAATGCTCCGTGGTGTTCAGCAGTTGTCTAATTACGACGCAAACTATAAAACATGATTATCATGTTGTATAATGAAACTACATCCTAAAATGATTGCTTTTCACTATTCCCTTATGTAAATTGTTTATATAATGTACGTGGTGGTATAACATTGTATAGTAATTAGATTTCATTGTTTTTCAATAGTTTTATTATTAGTTTTAAATTATTTTAAAAGACGTATTGGAGAGTTTTGTGTTTCATTAATACTGAATTTCCTAATATTCTACTTGGAATGATGACGCAATCATATGATTGAATTAATAGTGAACAATCAGATCGTTTTATGCATAATAATGATTTACTAGTTTCCTGAGAGCTTAACATGTTTTGACTGGAAATCCGGGCGTGTATTGATGAGTTAAATAAAAATCTATATTCTGATTTACATAATTTATATAGAAATGTATGTAAATAATAATGATTTTTGTTAGTCCGACTAATCGATAATATTAGAATGAGAATTTGTGGAGATTATAATAATTTTAATAGTTGGATCCATGAGACGATTTAAGCTAGACCACCATTGAATGGATGCCAGTTCAGTAGTTTGGAAATTACAGGTTCGCTTGCGAGACCGGAGGTCCTGGGTTCGAATCTCTTTGGTACAGGATCGTGGATACGCATTTCTGAGGAGTTACATACTAGGGTGAAACGGACGTCGAGTACTTTTAGGTTTTCAATTGTGGTTTAGTTTAGATTGATTAATAAATACAACTATTAATCGATAATAATCTTAACTAATATTTGGTTAACCACATTAGACCATTTTAATAAAGAATCTTCTATTTGACAGTAAGAATATAACATATTTTTCTAATAAATATACATCATTTTCAACAGTTGAAATCATGAGTCAATTGAAGCTAGACTACCATGGAAAACCTGGAAACACTGGACGGCCGTTTCGTTCTAGTATGGAAATTCTTAGCGGTGCGCACCCACGATCCCGTCCTCCCGCGATATTCGAACCCGAAACCTATCAGTGTCGCGCGCGAACGCTTAACCATTAGACCGCTGAACGGGCGTCCAACAGTGTTAATGTCTAACTTCAACCAATCCACGAAATTGCACCACTGTACACTATTGTTTGCAGTGAGCTGATATCTCACAACAAAACTGGTTTTCCATGGTGGTCTAGCTTCAATTGACTGTTAAAATGACTAAATTCTCCACAAAACTTCTGATGTATTATTTTGTTAATTTACAAGCCTATGAACTTTAAATACGACAAAATTGACAACTAGAAATTATATCATCCAATAGTTGCTGAACACATTTTCCGATATCCTTGATCAAATAAATTTTAAAATTAATCATTGTTTATTTCACTTCTATAAAAATGATTTTCATGGTGATTTCTCCATTGTACATGAATTCGGACATGTACTTAACTATAGATTGTAATATTTTAGATTAAATATGAGACAAAATATTTAAAAAACATAGATTAACTTATAAGCAAAGATGGATAGTGGCTAGCAGTGGAATCCAGGACGCGTATTTCACCCTATTTTGGCACTCGTCAGCTGGATGTACCTGCATCTCAGAGTTGATGTTCACTCTAGAACTCGAACCCAGTACCGTCCGCTTCAAACGCCATCATGTTATCCACTTATCTACTGAGTCCTGATAGCCACTTGCTTGTGCAATGGGGTGAAGTCTAATTCACTTGATATTGTTTTACTTGAATCTTTAAATTGATGTTTAAGACTACAATTGGTCAGTCTCTTATTGGCATATGTGCATACTGTGCGTATTGCCTCGATACTCCCTTTGTTTATAATGCTTGTAAATTAAGACAATATCGAGGCATACGCACAGTATGCACATATGCCAATAAGAGACTGATCAATTGAAGTCGTAAACATAAATGGGAAGATTCAAGTAAAACAATGTCAAGTGAATTATAGATTTACTTAATTTTTCACATCTTAGAGATAACTTTATTCATCTATGGATATTAATCAATTTTAAAGTGTTTTAGAATTGTAAAAAGAAGCAGTTTCTGACCTTCCAGAACAATACAGAATTTTTGATAAAGCTTTATATATATATATATATATATATATATATATATATATATATATATATATATATATATATATATATACTTTAGAACTATACGATAATTCCAAAACATTCCTATAATATCAATCACTAGTCCATATATATATATATGTGTTATGTTTAACTAATTTTGATCTACTTAAATCATTCGATATCACCAAGTCAACAATTTAAGTCTTAAAGACACCTGATTTGTTCTTCTATAGGTTAATAATTTTATAGTTAAATTATATCAGTCTGAAGTGAACTAACTATTCAAGGCTATTGTAGCCTTCATTTATGAAGAAAGATTATTGGTTATTAATGTAAATCTATTTGATTGGTTAGGATTTGTTTTTACTTAAAACTATATTAGTTATCCAATTGTATTATTGCCTTGTCAATGATTGTGTATAAGGAATTATTTCAAACAGATTATTTATAAACTACTACATATTCATTCATTGTTTGACATTGATTTGTGAATGAAAATCTATGGTAAGTAATTATTTCGGTTTCATTATTACTCAATTCTATTTCTTTTTGTATGAATTATAATAAAACTGTTAGGTTTACAAATGCTGATAGTAGTACTATAAAGAGAATGAAATATAATTAATCAAGAGGATAGGCGTTCGTGTGCGAGATCGAATATCTTGAGTTCGGATCCTGCGGGCGGGATCATGGATACGAACCACTGAGGAATCCTATACTGGGACGAAACGGCCATCCACTGCTTTCAGGTTTCCAATATTGGTCTAACATCAATCGATTCATGATTTCAATCAAAAATTTAATAATCTCCATGACCGCATACTGACAATTACCATGTGCTTGCTGGTGATTATCTTCGTGATGGAATCCTCGGAGTTCTAGTAAGGAGCCGTGACCAGTGGAGCTAATCTGTGTCGGGTAGAGACAGTTATCCACCTCAGTACAATGAAAGAAAGTTGTGCAATTTCGTGTATTAGTTGAGATTAGACATTAACACCGTTAGATGCCAAATCAATGGTCTAGAGATTGAGCGTTCGCACACGAAACAGGTCTTCGGTTAGAGTCCCGCGAGCGGAACCAAAAGTAAGTACTACTGTGGAGTCCCATAGTAAGACGAGACGGCGTCCACTGCTTCCAGGTCTTCCACGGTGGTCTAACATCAATCGGTTCATGATCTCAATCAAAAAAATAATTACAATATTCAACAAGGGTGGTCATTATTTTCTTTAATTTCGACACAATATTCGTACACAAAATTTACTGCTCAGTAAACTCTAAATATGATTTAAAAGAGTAAATTGATAGAAATAGTTTATATTCAAGAGAAAGAAAAGACCCCATAAAAGAAAAACATAAAAATAAATAAATCAGAACAAATTTGCTATAAATTCAATAAATTGACATAAATTGCCAATTAGATTTTAAATAGATTTTTAATTATATTATTATTATTATTATGCACTCAATATTTATTGCCTAACATATTTATTAAAACTATAATGTAGTTTAATAGTTAAGATCATGAGTCAATTGAAGCTAGACTATCATGGAAAACCCGGAAGCACTGGACAACCGTTCCGTCCTTTGGTGGGACTCTTGAGCAGTGTGCATCCATGATCCTGCCTCACGAGTTTTTATATCATATGATATGTCATAGTTTACTATGAATGCGGTTAACAATAATAGAATATGAGTAGTTAGTCTATGTGTATTTTTTTTAATAATATGAATCTTATTTCATAAATTTCATTTCGATGTATTCCCGTTTTTTTAACTTTAAATTGGGATGTATTTGACTGTATGTTTTGATACTATATCATAGAAGTTTTCATTAGCTTTCTTTTGAAGAAAAAATATATATTGATTTGTAAAAGGTTAATCACTGTGTAGTTACCAATGACATGTTTATTTAGTTGTTTAGAGTCGATCAAATGATGTTGATCAAGATGTAATATTCATCATCAATCTAAGCGACTCATATGTACTATGTTTAGATGTTAGGTGGTTAAAGGTGGTCTGTAGGAAGCTCGATTTGACCTAGGGTTTATAATAGTTAATACTCATTAACAAGTTGTATATCAAGTCTTAAAGGAAGTGATGTTCACGCTGGGAGCCGAACCCGGATGATCCAGCTTTATAGTCTGAAATATTACCAATAAGCGATTCGGACCACTAATGATATCTTGAAAGATTAGAAACAATACTGAATAGGACTTTAATTTATTCATTAGGTATTTTATAAATTATAATCAAGTTTCGGCTATCCATTTGGATTTATTCTTTTTAAAAAAAAATCAGGCAAGTTATATAAGGAAACCATCACTTGTTTTAGTATATCAGTTTATAAAATATCAATAAACTATGATGTGAAAGCTTTCTATTCAAATTGCTTATTTACATTTTAATTGGGCGTAGAAAAGAATAAATTTACACTTTAGCCTTTAACAAGAATGACCTAATTTATTTGTAAAACTTATGAAAAACGTTATAAATTGAATGAAATTTTACTTGTTTAAATTACTGTTATTTTATTATTTGGTTATAAATCTATTTAAATCTAAACTAGGCAATTTATATTGGCATATATATATATATATATATATATATATATATGAGATGAATTAAGTAATCGATAAAGCATTTAGAAGCATATAGAACATATTTTCATCTTTTTTTTCTTTAGTTTGTTAGATTTCAGTTACCGGTTACAAGTACAACTTGTTCTGCTTCTCGTTTTTTTTTGTCATAAGATTAACATTTAATTGTTGATTCAACTTTTTTTCTTTGGAATATTTATTTAATGCTGAAATTCATAAATCAACACAAATGGATTTTGTACTTTTTCCTATTTTACTTATAAATGAAGGATCAGTATTTAATGTTTTTAAAGCATCTAAGAAGTCAGTCAGTCGGTCAGTCAGTTACAACGTAGGACCATGCACATATATGCATTGGTCCAAGTTACCATACCTCATTAGCACAACGAGATGTACATCGAATTCGTAGTAGTTGATTCAATGGTGGTAATATATAAAAGAAAGACTGCATATAAGAATATAGTATAGGAAGAAAGAGTTAGTTCATAGAAAGATATGAAGCAATTTTAATCTCATAGTTTAAGGGACGATAGAGAGTGTATACACCTACGTCATTGTGATCGATTCTGAACCATGTCATCCTGAGTCTACAACCATTGGTTACGATAGTCACGCCGACGCCAACCAAGTAGTCTGCATCTACCAATATGGCTCAGACTACAAGTTAGTGACTTCAAGCACAGATGACACGTCTTGGCAATAGGTAAATTGATTATGATAACAATTTATTTGAAAACAAGTTTTATGTTATACTAACATATTGAGTGTTTAACCATTAGAACATAAGGAGCATTAGGAACTTCACAGAAGATCTTCTTTAGAATGTATAATTCTTATGATGTGAATAGTTCTTTTAAATATTTGATTTAAAATTCAATTATCAATAAATTATTTAAACTATAGTCAATTTACTATAGAGGATAATTTACATGCAATATCATTCAATGTTATGAATTGAAAGATCATAGCTTTCAAGTAAAACTTTTGAAATTGTATCTTTACACTGATAACTATTAGGTAAATGATGATTATTATAATATCATGCTTATTGTACTGTCTCACCTAAAAATCACGGGTTTTATATCATCTTGGTCAAGGATTTTTGTGACAGAAAAATTTCAACAAAGAATAAAATATATATCCAGTAACGCTTGGTTATCTATAGTTTTTCAGTCTATGACAATTTATTACAAAGACTTTAAGGACTATTTTTTTTCTACCGCAAATTGTTTATTATATATTGTTGTTCAATGTAAAACTAACTAACTAATGCTTATTCTGAGAATGAAGAAAATTGTTGATGAGAATTATACGAAATCTCTCAGATATGACCTAAATTATGGACAATTTGAAATTGAAATTTGTATGATTTCATTGTTTACATCTATGTGTATAGTGTCAGTATATCAGTCATTCATATGATGAATGACAGAAACAAATTATTCATATCTATCTATTGAGTATTTTAATTCATACATGAATTACGTAAATTTGTTCTTTATACTTTAAAAGTAACTTACTACCTTAATTATTGTTTGAGGATTTTACACACTAACAAATGAATTGGTCTTTTGAAAAATGTAACTTACAATTTGACCATGCGATTATATAAAAGTAGACCCAGCAAGAGGGTAGTTTTAAAATTAGTTTTCAAGGGAACCAGACACTGTACAGACATTTATACTACCACCCGAACAACACAACTCAATTCTGTGACGTAACCACACGAGTAGCCAGAACCCTGGTGGACCATTTACACTATAAATATAATCATAATATATTATTTGCGATCAATGATCGCGTCCATCAATTATGCGCAGCATAAACAGATAAATTTTGAAATATCACGCTAAAATAACTGTTAAATTCATTTTTATTAGCGGTAAAGATATGAATTACAAAGTACCAGTGACAATAGCACTTGAGAATGCTGAAAAGCAGTCATCAATATCAATGAAATCGGTTATCCAGCAAACTAGTTATGGATATGAATTGTCAGAGAAATCTGTCATAATAATGTCAAACCATCAACAATATTCATAGTAAATCTTCAGTTCTATAGAAAATCTTGATCTTTACAAACAGTATACCCTATATTGTATGCATGTGGGATAGGCTATTAATAGAGGCAGCCTAGCTTAAACCAGTAAAGCTCAAATACACTTAAGACTCATTGTCTCATGTATATGTACATACAGTTGTTAAGAAACGGGTACTAGGTAAGGATGGCAAATCAATTGATGAAGTAGTGAAACTTCATAAGTTGAGATGGCTGGGACATGTGTTACGTATGTCCAACCACCGACTACTCTGACGTTCGGTGTTCAATGTATAGGAGTAGGTTGGAAGAAAGCTAGATGCGGCCAGACCAAAACATGGCACAAATCCATGAAGTCATTGACAAGTGGACTGAACCATGTTGGTAGGTGTAGACTACCTGGTTGGGGACCGCGAGATGATAGCAACCAATGATTAGAAACCCTGAATGATATGGCTCAAAATCGTTTGCAATGGCGCAGGTGAATCCAATCTTGGTGTTCTCCCAAATTCTAATCTTCAGAATTCTCATTGTCTCTTTTTTTTCTCTTTCTAAATTTATTTCACCATATTATACTCCTTGAAAAACATATTTTAATCCTAATGTTTCCAATTACTGCTTATAGTCATACTACCTCTACCACTTTTGGGTTTGAATCGAAAACTGCATGTCTGTGCTGATGTGGTATGGCAATTCGAACTGATGTACGTACATAAGAATTCTACGTTGTTACTGACTGACTGGCTGATATGATTACTAAGCCATCGAGATTATTGTTTATTTAAAAAAGTTAAATTAATAAGTCGATCTAAGCTAGATCACTATTAGAAACCTGGGAGTACTGAATGGCTGTTTCGTCTCAGTATGAGACTACTCAGCAATGCGCATCCACGATTCCACATACAGAACCCAAACTTAAGACCTTTGGTCTTATGTAAGAACGTCTAACTTCAACCAGTTCATGATATTTCGCTACCATCTTCCATTGTCTTCAGTGGAAACTGCCTCATATATGACACAGATGAACTTTACCGATCAAGGATTATCACTATGACTTTGAGAATTATCTCTTAAAGTTAGTTACAATGTACTCATTAGTGATCAACTTCAAGAGGTAATTCTCGAAGTTCTAATGAAAAATCTAATGACCAATGAATTTATTTAATTAGTTGAAATTTAAGAACCTAATCCATAATTTCTTTAATCAATTTTTCCTACTTTTAATATTAACAGTTAATATTTATGAAATATTCTATGTTTACATAATTTACATTGTTTAATCACGAATAGAAAACAGTTATTATTGTTTATATTTTTTATTGTTTTTTTCCTCCTTTCTTTCTTTTTCTTCTTTTAAATTTCACTCAATTTTTGACATTATTTGAAGTATTTTTTATATATTTTAACAAATTGTTTTCTTCCAAGTAGTTCAGTTCACTCAATAGAGG